CCAGTTGAGGGTAAAATTTTGCTGTGAGGAGGGGAAAAAAATAGCCTTTTTTGGAAACACTGTCGGGGTTAAAGTGTTCCTGTCTGTCTCAAAGTTGCTATTTTTTATCTGTAAGCAGGTTGTGAGCACTTCTCTGCACTCCTGGTTCTCCTGCTGCTCTGGCTGCACAGCTGCCGAAGGCTTGCAGAGTGCCTCTGGACCAGCGTGTTTTCCAGCGGCGTCATTCATATCGTGCAATATTGCTTTGGACTTGCCTATTACATTGCTGTCGGCTCCACTGTGCTATGTCAAGTGCCTGCTGACGTCAGGAATGGTAAGGGCCTGCTTGGTTATTCCCAAAGAATGTATTTTGCCTCCCGTTTGTTTCCGTCGTGGCAAACGGTTCACTCGGTTTCATAGAGGGCCGCTTGTGTGAGAAGTGTGTTAACTGGTAAGATGTAAAAATACTTACTGGCATAGTTCAAAGTCAAGGTTTTGCTATTTCACATAATCAACCAGCATTATACAGACACTGATCCCCATTTTCACAGAATTGTCAGAGTTGGAATGGACCTCTAGAGATCATCTAGTCCAGCTCCCCTGCCAAAGCAGGATTGCCTAGAGCACATCACTCAGGACTGCATCCACGTGGGCTTGAAAATCTCCAGAGAAGGGGACTCCACGACCTCCCTGGGCACCTGTTCCAGTGCTCGGTCACCCTCACCATAAAGAAGTTTTTCCTCATATTTGAATAGAACTTCCTATGTTCAAGCTTGTGCCCATTGCCCCTCGTCCTGTCACTGGGAACCACTGAAAAGAGTCCAGCTCCATCCTTCAACCCACCCTTTAGATACTTGGAAGCATTAATAAGGTCACCCCTCAGCCTTGTCTTCACTGGTGCTTCCTGAAAGACATCTCACATAGATACTTTCAGGACTGTTTCCGATCAGACTCGCATTGAGGTACATACACTTTATGAAGGACAGTAACAGGCACCAGTTCTCAAGTGCCACTACACAACTTCACTTCTCAAACTGGAGTTTGGTTTTTTGTTGTAAGCTTTCCTGTAAGGTGAGCCTGCAAGACCACCACCTTTGTTTTCTGTTGGGAACTTGCCACTGCTCTGCCTTGCATCAGTCAGTCTCTTCTTTCCCCCCTTGCTGTAATGTCTCCACTAATACAGCAGAAATTGGAATTATATGATTTATTTCTGCCAACGCATTCCGCTGAGTCTCACAGGCTGAGCTGCTGTTCCCCTGCACAGATGAATCACGGGCTGGTTGTAGCACTTCTCTTATGACTAATTTTTTAACTGCTTCCAGCCACATCAGCTCTAGTTTAATCCAATGTTTTTTTTAAAAAGGACCTTCCGATCTCCTATGTTGAGATAAAGCCTTTTTCTTTCTGGACCTGTCTTTCTGGACCTTTTTCCATCTTGTAGATTCTTAGAGATGGTGTGTTGGCTTGTAAATTAATACAGTTAACTTTTTTTTTGAAGGCCTGAATGGTTCACACTGTGTATGTGAGTGTCAATGTATGTGTGTATGTTTGTCTTGTTCACAGTGAGTGACATACATACGACTGTGTACTTACACATTGACCTGAGCCATGACAACATCTTTAATTAAGATGGTGAAAATGACAGTGTTGAATATTGAGGTCTTAATCTATCAATTCTGTGTTGGTTGTACATCATGCTGTACCTCGAGCTACTGGATTAAAAAGTAGATATTTTTAGTGTAGAGCGGTTAATAGAAATGAACTACCATCTGAGCGCTTACACGACGCAGGATTTAAAAGCATCTTTCAAGGGATTAGAGGCTCACTCCTAGAATTTTGTAAGACAGTAACATTTAAAAAATATGTGACCGTGTACTTATACATGGACCTGAGCCATGACAACATCTTTAATTAAGATGGTGAAAATTACAGTGTTGAGTATTGAGGTCTTAATCTATCAATTCTGTGTTGGTTGTACATCATGCTGTACCTCGAGCTACTGGATTAAAAAGTAGATATTTTTAGTGTAGAGCGGTTAATAGAAATGAACTACCATCTGAGCGCTTACACGACGCAGGATTTAAAAGCATCTTTCAAGGGATTAGAGGCTCACTCCTAGAATTTTGTAAGACAGTAACATTTAAAAAATATGTAGGGTGTTTGGGGATTTCAAGGGATTAGAGGCTCACTCCTAGAATTTTGTAAGACAGTAACATTTAAAAAATAAGTAGGGTGTTTTGGGATGGTGCTTTTGAAGGTATTTCCTGGCCATATATTAATGAAATGTATTTCTTGCAGGAAAAGAGCTTTCTGTGCAGATCTGCTGGTATCACGTTGTAGGAGTTATGATGTACGTTTGGGCCTCTCTTCACCAGCACAGATGTCTGGTGATTCTAGCTAATCTTAGAAAAAGTAAATCAGGTAAGATGTTTCCTTTCTGCCAACCATTTCCTTGGGTGATTTTTTCCTGGTTGTTTCAATTGCCTTGGGTAGCTTCTAATACCTTAAAACAAGTATTTTTCAGTTCCTGTAGTGGGGTGCTCTCTGTAAGACTGTAACATTAAATGAGGCTGTTGGGAAGCGAGATTGGATGGTTGAGTGGGGAGTGTGTGTGTCTCTGTGTCTGTGTATCTATGGCTTTATAGAACTTTAACAAAGGTCTAGCTTCTGTTGTCCTAAGGACAGCCACGTGCTAATGCTCAGGACTTGTGCCACTCCTCGGGGACCTCCCTTCTGTCTCCACGTGGGCTAAAAATAGGTTTCCTTACCCTGTATTTGCGCAAACAGCCAGAGGTGGCATCTTAACTTCATTAGGAAATGCAAAGCTGCCAGATCAGATGGAGGTGGATGATGATGATAACTTTAATGAGCCTTTTGTTCTGTAATCGGGAGTAGAAGATAAAAGTTTATTTCATGGATGTTGTTCTTACCTAATTTCCTTCTGTTTGCTTGCAGGGAAGGTCGTAAGTCTGGGCCACAGCGTACCTTTCGGGGACTGGTTTGAGAGAGTTTCTTGCCCTCACTATTTTGCAGAGCTCCTGATCTATGTATCCATGGCCATCACGCTTGGGTTTCACAACCTGACGTGGTGGTGTGTAGTGATGTATGTTCTTTTCAACCAGGCACTGGCTGCTGTTTTGTCCCACGAGTTCTATCAGAAAAACTTCAGCTCCTACCCAAAGCACCGGAGAGCGTTTATACCATTTGTTTTTTAGAACATTCCTTCTAAAGTGTCTTTGGAGAACACTGGAAAATGTTTCCTATAAGGCAATAAGAGATTTACGGTTTACTAAAGCCAAGGTAAAATGGCACATTTTCTCTAATTCTAGCTTAAAAGCTCATAATTTTAATGATATTCTCATCTGTTTACCAGTGTGGGAAGCGTTGAGGTCTCTGCATATCGCACAGGCTAAGAAAAGGTTTGCCAAAGACCTTAATCCAAACTGAAGAGATGCTAATTAGCTCTTTTCTCTTTTATAATTATATCTTATGCATAAAACACTTGCTGTTGTGCAGCAAGCCAGAAATGCATAGATGTGGAAACGGTGTAGTGAAAGGAGGGTGCGGGGAATCACGCGAAATGCTGTGTCTCGTGCCTTGTGTAGTATTTAAGCCTGTTTTATTTTTTTTTTCCTAGTCTCTCTCTTCTTTGAATCACTTCAGAGGGAGGCAAATGGAGTATTGTCTTTTGTGCTTCCCTGTTGATAATTAAACCGCCCGCTGCTTTATGAGTGTGAGCACAGCCACCGGCGGGGAGAGCCGCGGTGGAGGAATGACTCATGCTCAGGGGTGGAGATAAACAGCCCCGTTCTCTGCCTGCTCTCCTCTGCACCACAGTCAGTATTCGTTGATGAAAACTCCTTGTTTATCCCTAAGCTGGGAAAACCATGGACGGTCCTCTGTCTAGAGAGACAGTAGAAGAGAATTAATGCTCTTGGTGATGGTTCTGTCGTCCTTATTGCAGGATGTTGGATGTGTGAGAGGGGGTAGTTATGCAGGGTGGCTACACGGGTTTATAAACAGCCCGTGGGAGCTGGTGTAATGAGCTGCCGAGGCAGAGAACACGTGGAAACTGGGACCTGACAAGTGCTGCAAAGACATTCTTTACTGGGGAGATGATGTCACTCACCGCTGGGTGGCTTTTTTCATAGAATCGTGGGATGGTTTGGGTTGGAAGGGACCTTAAAGATCACTGAGTTCCAACCCCCCTGCCGTGGGCAGGGACACCTCCCACCAGAGCAGGTTGCTCAAAGCCCCATCCAGCCTGGCCTTGAACCCCTCCAGGGATGGAGCATCCACTGCTCCTCTGGGCAACCCATTCCAGTGTCTCACCACCCTCAAAGGAAAGAATTTCTTCCTGATACCTCATCTAAATCTTCCCTCTTTCAGTTTAAAACTGTTACCCCATGTCCTGTCACTGGACTCCCTGATAAAGAGTGTCCCCTCAATGTCTTCTGTAGCCCCTGTAGCCCCTGGAAGGGGCTGTAAGGTCTCTCCTGGACCCTTCTCCAGGCTGAACAGCCTTTTTTTGCACTGAACCAGTGAATGTTTTGGACATTTTCATGGTGCTGGAGCGAATGATCAGTTCGCATAATGTGGCACGTGGATGACGCTGCCCTCCGCGTGTTTTCTGTTTAAATGCGTATATTATTTTGTACCTGAGAAGTATTTTTATACCCTGAAGTGCATCTTACTGATTATCTCTATTAAAGGGGTCTGTCGCACCTCCTATTTCCGTTCGGTGTCATTTTTCAAAAAACAGAGCTATAGCTTGGCAAAACCGGAACCGTGACTTGGCACAGCGTGCGGGGGACGGGCCCCGCCGGGTCTCCCCCGGGGGTGCGCACCGGGACCCGTTTT